GTTGCGGGCGCCCTCCGCGCGCCCCGGGGCCCGGGGCCTTTCTGGGGTGCCCAGGGGGGCGGGGCCGCGCCCGTCGGCTTCGAGCTTTCGCGGAATCCCAGTTGTCACCGCGGAAAGGGCCTTTTAGGGACCCAGCGACTCGAGAGAGCCTTCCCATTTTACAGCCCGGGCTGGCGAGGCTGGCGAGGCACCGGGGAGGCGGGCTTTCCTGGAAGTCATTCCTGGAAGGTGGAGCCCTGGTTAAGAGCGGTGGCTCCGGACCCCCCACCGCCTTTTTTTTTTTTTTGTAAGAGGTTCTGGAGCCTCCACTGTTTTCAAGCACTGTAGGTTGGTTACTCGAGACCAGACTTTGCCCTCAGGGAGAGCTCCCTGGAACGCGGGAGCCAAACCTGACCCCAAGTAGGAAGGGACCAGATGCTGGGGAGAACGCGAAGATCAGGTTTTTAAGGGGGAGAGGGGGTCCTCGGGAAGGAGCTTCATAGTTTGGTCTCCCTGAAGGGACCCGAAGTGGTCCTGGATGGGTGTGTGTGTGTGTGTGTGTGTGATGGACTGTTTTGAAGGGTAGGGACTTTTCTTGAGTAAGAAAGGCAAGGCCTTCCTTGTCAGGGAGGCCACTGCAGACCAGAGAAAGCTAAGTGAGGGTGGATAGTGGACATGGCGTTCGTTGGCGGCTTGGGGGTACTTGGAGTGTGACTGGAGACCATGCCAGTGGAGTTGTGGCTGGGGTACTTGGACGGGGCAGTGTATGGTGTCTCTAGCCGCTTTTCTGTTTAGGAAGGGGGTCCACTGCTTCCCCTCCCCCACAAGGAAGGCCTAGCAGGACCTCCCCGTCGATCCCTTCTGGCTTTCTCAATAGACTTTTCATCTCTTTTTGTTTCTGTACCCCCTCCTCCCGCCCCCCCCCCCTTTTGCCATCTTGCCTCTGCACTACAACTGTCTCTCAAAGGTGTTAGTGACTTAATGGTTCACTGTCCCCCCCTCTCCCTCCTCTGCACAAGCAAGTTTTCAGAAAACCTCGAGGGGAGGAGAGGGAGAGTGTATGTGGCTGCTGCAGGGTAAATTGACCTCTCTCGGACCTCTTTTCTCATTTTTACAAGTAGGGGAACAAACCCAGATCCACAGAAGTTGAGTGCCAGCCCTGTGGTCTCTGGTGGATAATGGTGGATTGAGGTGGGGGGAGTGTGGGGAGGTACAGAAACCCAGTAAGATGCTTGCTGTCCCAAGAGTCTCCTGGTGAGGTTCTTGCCAGCACCGAGGGGCATTTAAAGAGGACATGATGTATCTAGCATGTCATCTTGGGAAGGTGGGCTGTGGAGTCCAGAAGGCTGTCTAGTGAGGACTAGCTGTGTGAAGGGTAGGGGGACATGCCAGGGGCCCCCGAGGCTGGGACCCTGCCTTGTTTTGCATCTTCTGACCATCTTCTCCTTCCTCTCTCCTTTCCCAACCCCTCTCCTCCCAATTCCTTGTAAGCAGCTCTGGCCTGGGGTAGGGAATAGGCAGTGGGCAGGGAGCAAGTTCTTGAATTGATAATTATTGCTGGGATTGAGTAGCGCCCTTCATGGAGAGACATTCTGGCCAGGAGGCCATTCCTCCGAGAGGGTAGGCATTTCCAGGCAGTGATAGGTAGGAGAGGAGACTTGGTTCTGAGAGGCTTTAGGAATGTCAGGCTATATGCCTTTTGAGGGTTTTGAGCAGGCAGGAACATGACTGAGAGAACTGGCGTTGAGAAACCTCCTGCTGCCCAGTTTCAGTGAGAGAGGTGATAATTTGGCTTAAGAAAATGATCATGGGTTGTTTCATTTGCTTGGCATGCGTAGCTGAACACCTATTATGCACCACAGTCAAACGTGGAAATTGTATGGCAGGTTCTTATTTTTATTAGGTAAATTCTAAGCTACACGTGTCTTTTTCATGTTTTCATACCACTGACATGTGATTGTCTTTTAATCATAGATGTGTCCCAGTTGAACAGGTTTCTATTCTAAAGTTGATAATGATACACGTCTTACAGTCACTGTTTTCAATTTGATAAAATTTGGTTGCCATTGGGTCTTTTATAAATGTATAGTACTTTTGCATTTTTATAAAAAATACTTTTCCATCAAATATTCTGCATAAGTTTCTGGAGAAGTACGCATGGTGACAGTCCCATCTCCACCTTAACTCTTTCCTTGAGGTTACAGAGCTAATTCGAGGTGTACACAAAACTGTTAATTCCAAACTTGGGGTTCTTGGTGGGCACTTGTAACTTTACCCTGCTGTGGAGCCAGCATGGGTTAATTGGTGCTGGAGCAGGGGCACACTGGCTTTGATTTCAGAACTCTGGTTTATATGCTGGGGAGATGGGGCCCAGTACACCAAGGACAGTATAACTTATAAGGGCTGGGAGCCCACTGCAGGGTAACTTGGCAGAGACTGGAAATGCAGGAAGGAGACCCAGTGTGGAAAGCATGCCTCTGACCCGGTCCCCATAGACCAGAGAGACACTGAGCGGGCTGCTGGGAGCACAAGTTGAGGAGGGCATCCTTCCTGTGCCCAGAGGAGCACCAGGTGTGTGTGAGGGTGGAGAAGCTTGGCGGGTGTGGTCAGGGTTTTGGCTACTCAGAGGCTGGAAAAGACCAGCCTCTGGGAAGTAACCCACCATAGAAGGGAGGTGCCTGAACTGAATCTCCAGGACTAAGAAAGAGAAATATAAGTGCAGGAAGGAAGGAGTGAGATGGAGGCTGCTGGACAAAGGAGCCTCTGTGCAGGTGCTGGGAACAGGGTGGTTTGTTTTGGCTGTGTTTGGAAGGGTCAGAGTGTTTGTGGAGGTTCAGAGAACAACTCTGTGGAGTCTGTTGGGTTCCACAAACTCAAGCACCATGTTTCTGTTTGTACTGCAAGTGCCTTTGCCTACTAAGCCTGAGAGGACCTTTTTTTTTCAAAGTATAATTTATATTTGTCTTGCAGCTGTGGGGGCCATTAATCAATCCTATTGAGGGTCATGATTCACAGGAGAACAAGGCTGGGCAGGGGCCTCTGGGAGCTTCGCTGTGGGATTGACTGTAGGCAGAAGGCACAAGAACACTCTTCATAAGTGGATGAGTGAACTTGAGACTTTGACCCAGCACAGTAAGGAGGGCCTCAGAGCTCGAGTTGTGTGCATTGGTGGGTGGGGACGTTTCCTGGAATATGGCTTTGGAATGCAGGGCCTTGCCTAAACTCACTGGAGGTGAGGAAGTGGGGAGGGTAGGGGTCGAGCGTGCACGGAGAAAGTGGTTGTTGCTGCTCCAGGTGTGAAGGTTGAATGTGGGCCGAAGTCTGTCAGCCTGAAGGTGCATATGAAGTACAGGACGTGAGGGTGAGCGGAGGGGCAGTGGGAAGTATGCTGTGGAGTCTGCTGTAGCTGCCTCAAGGCTTGTCCTGTTCCTAACATAGATCCCAGGAATGAGATTGGTCACTAGCTGAGGGCTAAAGGCTGTAAGGCTTGGAAGAGAGCCGTAAAGCTGAGGCTAGAGAGTGTTTATCTTCCTAGCCTTTCTAGGTAGCAAGATAATTTCAAAGTTTTGAATGATTAGCGTATACTCATGTAATTACCACATTGATTCCCTAAGATTTATGATTGCTGTGGCTTGGGTGTGGTTTGTCCCTCGAAGACTTGTGTGTCGAAGGCTTGGTTCTCGAGTATGTACAGTATTATAGTGGGACTTTTAGAGGTGAGGCCTAGTGGGTTGGTCTTTAGATCATTAAGGGAGTGTCCTTTAAAAGGGATTTTTTTTCAAAACCTAACTTGAGTAGGTAGTTACAGAACAGTGAGCCTGATTCCTGATTGGCTCTTTGTTTTCCTGTTGGGTGACGCGATTTTTTTCTCCTGTGGACACTTCTGTGATTTTTGTGGCATCCTTTAAGCCTTCATCAGAGCAGAGGTGATAGTGGTGATGTGCCTTGAGCGTCTAGGAACCCTGGGTTAAGTAAGCCTCCTCCTTTCGTCACTGTGGTCCCCAGTTTCAGGTATTAGGTTATGAGGACTAACATTGGCCGGTATGATGACTGTCAGTCTCATTTTCCAGATGAGAAAATGAGTTTGGTGACACGTGGTTGCCCAGCTAAGTGGCATGTTTTGTGCTAAGCACTTGCCTGGTCTGTGGCCTCCTAACTGGACACTGTTGTCCCTGTCCACAATCAAGAAAACCTGAGGTCCGTAGTATTTTCAGTGCACGTGACCTGGACCTTGGGTTTGCTCCTGAGGATGAACCCTGGGCAAGTGGACTTCTTGGTTCCATGCTGGTGTTACCACGGACCCGATCAGTCTGCTAGCACATTGCCATGCCTCCTTCCACGGCAGATTGTGTGGAAATGGAGCCAGCAAGCTAATGCTCCTTTCAGTGTGCCTCCCCTCCCAAGCCTTTGTAGTGATCTGGTTTCCACGCACCCAATAGAGAGGTAGTTGGGGCAATAAGAAAGTGATCCAATATTGGGGAGATTGCTTTTCTGTCATTTCTCTGGCCTTATGGCTCCTCCAGAGGATCCTGGGTGTCCTCTGGTAGTTATAAACTGTATCCTTCCTGTTGGCTCCTGCCCTTCCATAGGCTACGACCCTTTAGAAATAAACAGTCCTGGCTCTTGACTGAA